ACGGCTGCAGTGTCCCGTGATCAATTTTTGCAACCTTCTGACAAGCAAAGTCAATGGGGAAACGAGGTTCACTTAACCACCATGTTAACTGACTTAACAAGTACAGTGATTCACTTAATAAATGTGGCAGGAAAGGTTGTTAAAATGGGAAAAAGCTTACTGAACAACTGTGTTGCTTCGCAATGGGAATTTTGGGATGAAATGTGGTTGTAAATTCAGGACTACCTATAAAGGAAACCGCTGAACGAATCTCAATGAGTCTTTCTTGGTTTTAGAGCCTGATAGGAGGGAATATGAAAGCAAGCCACCAAAAATATTCTGCCTCAGTTCTTTTTAGTCTGATGAATCACAAAGTCTTTCTAGAAATAGTCGAAACTTGATTTTTTTGTTGCTGAAAGAGGAATGTCTATGGAGATTCTCAGTCATTAAGGTCATGGTTGTCCGAAAGATGCTTTTTCAAGAGGCAACTGGACTTTTTGTTTTTTCTTTGAAGATGTTTCGCTTCTCATCCAAGAAACTTCTTCAGCTCTGGCTAGATGGTGGGACTGAATTCTTCAGCCAGAGCTGAAGAAACCTCTTGGATGAGAAGCGAAACGTCTTCAAAGAAAAACTGGAAAATCCTTTGGGGCTGAAAGAGGAACGTTTCCTAAACAGTTTTTGAACTGTCATGCATTTGATGGCATAACTATTAGCCCATTTATATATCCTTGCACCTCAAACTTCTACAGTTAGTTCACATTCCTTTCCCAGAAACCCATTCAGTGGTGGGTTGCTACTGATTCGCCCCGGTTTGGGAGAACTGGTAGCGGCGGTGGGAGGCTCCGCCCACCCACCCTGATGCTTCTGCGCATATGCAGCTTCTGCGCATGTGCAGATGCATCACGCGCGCACACCCATGAGCGAACCAGTAGTGACAGGTTTTGAAATCCGCTCCTGAACCTATTGTACTGATACCAGTACAGATGTATCCCTATGTAACACCTAATATAGTGTTTCCAGTGCATTCCTAGCCCTATCCCAAATCAGCAGCCAAGATTTTTCACTCACTTAGTTCATTCTCAATCTCTACGGTGAGGTTGTTGGCATCCACAATGACTCTGTATTCAGGAGCAGCCTCGACTGGACCTAGAACTGGAGAGGGACAAATAGAATGGTCAAAATCTATGCTATGCAGCTGACTATGAGGTGGGTTCATACACATGTCCAAGCTTTTGACTGAAGAGAAAAGACTTGTCTTAATGCAGGAACAGGATGTGACCTTAGTAGGTTCAAAAAAAGTAAGGGAAATGTTATCAGTACTGCTGTTTCTTCATAGACAAATCTGACTCTGAACTGAACAGTACCTTCAGATGCTTTTGGTTGCTTGCTGATATACTCCTCAATCTTCAACATAATTTCAGCAAACTGCACAAAAGAAATAAAAAGATCTAAAGTCACGCTTCCCTTCCATCTTGAATTTTAGAGTGTAAAACAATAACGGCAGATTATACAACATGGTGTTCAGACCAAAATCAATTTTGAAATTTTACTGCATTCTGTAAACAATTACTGTATAATACTGTATAAAGGGACATTTAAGGGACATTTAGTATCTTCCTATTTTCTAAGGTATACTTTATTTCTGACTGCCCCTTCATCTGATCAAATTGGCATCATCCATAGAGATTCCTTCATAAACATTTTAAACTGATGAGTCCTATGTGAAAGATCTCTATTCCTTTTTACCATTTTGCTATCCCATAGCTTGGCAATACTCTTGACCGAATCAGTTGCCAGATCCACTTGCATCTCTTCATGGACATCTTCAATGGGAGACTCGTCCTCTTCATCTGCAAAACTTCCATCTTCTTCCTCAGCTGCCTCTTCAAGGTCAGCCAAAAGCTCATCTGCTAAAGACATGGTGGATCAAGGCTGGAAAGAGAATAAAACTGGATTAGAGAAGTGAGTCAAAGCAGGGTTAATAAAAAAAAAAACTCACCTAAAGTAATTAAATGAAGATTCAGTATTTTCTCTCAATACTGTTTTGGAAAGAGTCCCAATCCTATATTTCTGTAACCAACCACCCTTCAGAAGGTAGGATTTCAGTTTCTAGACGCCACTATAGGAATATAATACTTGATAACTACTACCATGTAGTAATTGTAATCTGTAAAACTCTCTAGAAAGTAATACACAATCTTAGAACCCGAATAAGCACAGGATGCTAAGGTCTTCAATTCCTTTCTGGTTCACTCTGTCTGAAGGAATTGCCTTACTCACAGTTGCAACTGCTTTCCTACTGAATCCATTTCAGTCAAAAATTTCTAGATCTTACTAGCTCCTCCCAATATGTCCTTTCTAATCTCTTAGTTTCTATCCTTCAACCTTCCAGTACTCCCAAATAAGATATGGTACATACCAACTATCATTCCTAAAAAACACATGACCTTCCCAGCCTTCCCCTCTCCCATTTAGGACCCCAAACTGCTACAGAATTGAAATATAACAAATATTATAAAATGTAACATAAAAATTATCATACAGCAGAATGACATTACACAAAACATCATACAACATTTCCTATTCTGATATTTGACTGTTCTATATGGTTCGACATGGGGTATTTTCAAGGCAGATACATCTGTGAATGTATCCTAACTTTTCCAGTGAAGGCAGTATTAGGACGTCTTTCATTTTTGAAGTCTGATAAGGAAATATTCCTAAAAGGATGGACCAACAGGGCACAGATTGTCTAATATACTACTAAAACTTGCCTGTTTGTCGGTATGTAACTTTTAACTTGGAAAATGGTGCTTTGGAGGGCAACAATTTTTGAACCATTATCTCAACTAACTAGGCCCACTAAATGGTGTGTCCAAAATCCGGAACCAATGACTCCCATGGAATTGAAATTTGACAAATTTTATAAAACATTTTATGATGTAAAAATGATCATAAAACGTTTTATGACACTATATCAAATGAAATATTTCCCATGTAATGTTTGACTGCACTATATAGTTAACATGGGCTTTTTTCAAGGCAGATACATCTCTGGATATCTCCCTTGATTTTTAAAAAACTTTTCCAGTGAAGTCAGTACTTTAGAAGCTCTGCCATTTTTGAAGGCATTGAGGAATCTGGTAAGGAAATATTTCTGAAACAGGATCCAGCAGGTTATGCACTGTCTAGTTTATCATATATGTCAATGCAAACCCTCCAAATGAGTCTTCAGTAGTCAAGTGAAGCATGTAAAAAATCCTACCGTGATACTTAATGTGTAACATTGTTAGGCAGAACCTAATAAAAAAAGAAGAGTAAAAATAATAACAGCTCCAATGTAAGAAAATTGGGACAGCGAGGGAGTGGTGTTGAGGTAAAAGAAGTGTGTATATAGCAACTCATACCGATCTCAAAATTATGACACACACAATGTTGTACAAATGCCACAATTGCATAAAAGACATCTGACACAAGTTCCTAAGTTCCTGCATGACAATATGAAGACCTATTGTGTCTCCCCACACATGAAAGCTCATGGAGGTGCATCAGAAAAATGGGAGAGAGGGGGCTGCCCCACCATGATACTTATAATAACCATATGTTCCTAGAAAAAATGAAAGACAAAAATGCCATATCTGAAAAATCTTCATAAAGATAATAATTGTTTATAACTCTGCCTTACAAAGGAAAATTGAAGAAAAACCCCAAGAAAAACAAATTAAATCAAAAGGGCTGCTTCCTGAAATAACAGACCATTCTTTACAATATAACGAAAGGCATATAGTTAACAGTATACAGGTAGTCCTTAACATACAACCACAATCGAACCCAAAATTTACGTTGCTAAGTGAGAAATTTGTTAAGCGAGTCTTGCCCCATTTGTTAAGCAAATCACTGCAGTTATTAAATTAGTAACACGGTTGCTAAGTGAATCTGGTTTCCCCATGGACTTTGCATGTCAGGAGGTCGCAAAAGGATGTGTCAGTTGTCAAGCATCCAAATCAGGGGTGGGTTCTACTTACCTTTACTACCGGTTCGCATCATGCCCGGGCATGCACACTAGCTTTGCTGGTGTGTATGCACACTCTTCTGCGCATGTGCAGAAACTTCTGTGCATGCGCAGATCGCTTTTGATGACGTCCAGATCAGTGGGCGGAGCCTCCCACCGGTTTTACTACCGGTTCTATAGAACTGGTCCAAACCGGGGGGGGGGGGGTGTGTGGCAACCCACCACTGATCCCAATGTAAATCACGTGAGCATGGGGATGCTGCAAGTGTGGAAAATGGTCATAAGTCACTTTTTTTCAGTGCCGTTGTAACTTCAAATGGTCACTAAGCGAACTGTCGTAAGTCGAGGGCTACCTGCACTAAAGGACGACCGAGAGGTCAGGTAGAGCAGCTGTGAAAATCCTGGGGAGAGCCAGTTAGGATCCCTCAAGGAGCGACAAGGTAAGCCTCAGCAGGTCCTCCTAGCCTACCTCGGAGGGTTTTTAGGACGACTAGGGGGAGAATTAGCGCTTTAATCAGACTGTAGATTAAACAAGGCAAGGATTAGAACGGCCTCCTCCCCCTTTTTCAGGATTCCCATCCCGCTCCCCCCCCCTTCCTCACCAACTGCTGCTTCGCTTCAACACCGCTCCGGCTTCTTCTCAGTCCCTCGTTAAAGCCGTCACGCAACAAATCGCGTAGGTTCTACGTTCATCATGGACGCCACCAGACCCGAAGAAAGAAGTAGCCCAAGGGGTATTACTTCCGATTCCGGCTCGGACGCCATTTGCGTGGCGTAAGGGCTTGTCTTGCCCTCTTAACTCTATGGACGGCTGGAAATAATAGCTGTAAATGGAGGAAACGTTCCGCTCCGAGGCCACGGCCAACGGCTTTTTCCCATTTCTATTCAGACGATGGATTAGCTCTGCAATGCCTACTCTATGACTACGGACTTCCGGAACCTATGGTGACATCATCATCATCATCATCATCCCGTTTTGCGCGGCCGTCCCTCGAACCCATATGAAGGATTCGTTTCACGTAAATGCTATGCGACAGACTTTTCTGTCAGGGTCCGGTCAACTGATGCTCAGAGGTCATCGGAGTGCGCCGCCTTTCTTCCTCCAATTAAACTGCGGGCATGAAACTTCCTTTTGTTGCTACAGGGGTTTTGTTAGCTGCTCGCATACGTCATCAACCAGCGTCGGGTCGTCCGTGTATTTTTCGTGGCCTCATTGAAAAAGGTAGGAGCGGCGTAGAGACTGAGGTAAGTTTGATGTCGGAAAAAGTCCATTTTCAGAAGGTGGCATTTTGCAGCCTGACACCGTTCGCTGGGGTCCCCGTCCGGAGTTGTAAAGCCGCCCCTTGGAGACTCTTTGTAGAAGGGTTAACGGATGCCCCTTCCTGACTTGAATTAAGAATTACCCTTCTAGTCAGTTTACTAGAATAATTTTGACTTACCTTGTGTGATACTAGAATTCAAACCAAGCATCATTCAGCTTGGTACTCTGAACGGGTTGAGATTGCATTTTCCGTTTTCCTTAGCAAGTCATGGTGATTGCCTGGGAATTTCCAAATAAACTAAATTCCAAATCCACTAAACTCAAACAGTTTGGAAGTTGTTTCTGTGGGAAGCCCCCTCCCCAGAAGAATGAAATATTTTGGGAAATATTTTTTAAAAAAAGGCAGAATATTATATTTCCCTAACGGAGAAATGGAGAATCATGTTTTTTAGAGGCAGAAAGCAACACCCCTCGCCCCCCACCCCCAGTATCTTAATAGCCCACAGCAAATTAAGCACTTAAGACAGAGGTCTTCAAACTTGGCAGCTTTAAGACTTGTGGACTTCAACTCCCAGAATTCTCCAGCCAGTTATACTTCAACTCCCAGAATTCTCCAGCCAGTTATGCTGGCTGGAGAATTCTGGGAGTTGAAGTCCACAAGTCTTAAAGCTGCCAAGTTTGAAGACCTCTGACTTAAGAGATAAAGAGCTGATTGAAAGAGGAAGCCAACTATCTAGATGGCTCCATTCATAAGCAAAGCAAATACTGCAGGGAGAAATCCATTCAAGACAGGATATTTTGAAATTCCTTGCAGCAAAGTTTGACAGCTAACAAAAGCAGAGCAATAGGATTAGAACAAGCCCCTCACCCAAAATCCAGCACGGGACGAACGCCATTAGCCACAATAGGAATTGCCCAACACCCTTTCAGAACACAAGCTCCTTCATTGCACCACCCCCAGAATAGTCCAGACTTCAAAGTCACAGAAACCTATAAAGATCCAGCCACTCATTCAACCATTTGGTCAGCTGCCCCAGAACCACAAACCTTTGTGGTTCTGTTCACCAATAAGCATAATCTTTCTTTCCAATCAGCTTCCATATCATTTCCAGTGTCTTGGAACCAAACCAAATGGATTTTCCTTCCAACATTTCCTTGTTATATTGTCTGTTCTTAACATTTGTTTTTATCTTACAGGTAGTTCTTGACTTGGGACCAGAATCTCTGTTGCTAAGTGAGTGGCACCTGATTCCCCCCCACTTTTTTTGCCTTTGTTGTTAAGCAAATTACTGTAGTTAAGTGAATCACAAGGTCATTAAGCAAATCCATCTTTCCCATTGATTTTTTTTTGTCAGAACCTGGCCAGGAAGGTTGTAGATGATAAACACATGACCCCAGGTTGCTGCGACCATGGGAAATATATACCAGTTGCCAAGCAACCATATTTTGATCATGTGATTGTGGGGATGCTGTGACAGTTGTAAATGCAAGGCCTGGTTGTAATTCATTTTTTTCAATGCTATTCAAATTGTCGCTAAAGGAATGGTTGTAAATCAAGGACTACCTATAGTAACCAAAGGGAAAATGGGCAAACTTATATGATGAAAAAAACAGGTCACATTTAATTGACTACGACTTATTTACACAAAATATTTACAGAATTATTATATACTCTAAATAAGTCAGTAAAGTTTACTGTAAATCACTTGTATCCTTCTGTTTTAAATGTTGGATGAAAAGGGGATTTACCTCTTTATTTCATAGATTTCCTTCCTTCCTTTTCCTTCCTTCCTCCTTCCTCCCTCCCTCCCTCTTTTCCTTTCCATTTTCTTCTATTTCTCCTCCCACCACAACATCTCTGTATGGTAGGTTAGGTTAGGACAGAAAGTAACTATTTCAGGTATTTGGAAAGATGTAATGCTTTTCAAGTGAATCCATGAATTATTTTATTGTGATCAAATTGATATAGCTGATTAGTTTATATTTATTGCTTTCTCCTTAAATTTTTTGAACAGTCATGGCTGCTGTGAGTTTTGAAGAATTTTCAGTGCCTCCTGGCTCAGAGCTGGCATTGCCTCCTCTTTTTGGTGGAAATATCCTAGAAAGTGAGTTAGAAACTGAGGTAGAATTTGCTGATGGAGGGATACCAGAAGACGAGGAAGAGGAGGATATGTTGCGGCAACAGGAGATGACTCGACGCAAGTGTCAAGTGCTTGCCCGGCGATGCAAGGAATTAGAACAGGTACATGATTGGAGTGAATATGTTTTCTCTGTTTATTAACAATGTTTCTAACAACAATCTTGTGAAATAAGGTAAGACTTGAGAGAGAGGGTTCAAGAGATCTCTTACTACATAAGGCTGGATGAAGGATGGAGACTTGAACCTAGGTCTTTTTGGCCTCAGTTCAGCATGCTGTTTACAATAGTGTAATATGTGTTCAGGAAAAAGGACTATGTGGACACTACATAGAGCAAAAGTGAAAAAATTAAGTGAAGACTGAGGTGGAAGAGGAGGGAATTATTGAGTAAATGAAAAAAAGATGTCCAGCTAATATTGACCCCCATTATAGGTGAATGAGAGAATGTTAAACCGGCTTCATCAGGTCCAGAGAATAACACTGCGTCTCAAACAAGAAAGGAGGTGAGTCAGAAGGTACAGTAGGTGCAAAGTGTGTTAAATATGTTCCCCTTTATGCACTACTACGGTTTTAAAAACTAGTTGCATTTGGACCTAGAGGATATTTAGTTTAGGATGGGGAACCTGTGTTTTTCCAGATTTTGCTGAGCTGCCCTTTCCAGGATTGCCAAGGATAACCTATACTGGCTGGGTCTTCCGGGAGTTGTACTTCATCAAGGTTTAAGGATAACACTGCTTCTGAACTAAGAGGCTGCATGTTTATACCAAAGAGATTAATTTTTACTTCTTTCATCTAAAACTATCTGTTTATACCCCATTTTTCATTTTGTGAGGCAGGGTCCTGGTTAGAAAAGAACACAGGTATACAAAAGGATTGGTTTAAAAGAATGTCTTTCTACTTCCCCTGAGGTTTCTCATGAGAGTTTTGGATTCCTATGGTGACGATTACAGACAAGGCCACCTTGATATTGTCTTGGAGGTAAGAAAGAATTTTCGATAAAGGCCGGGTTTACACATTGCTCTCATCTTTAAGATCGTTTGTTTGTTTGGGTATTGTATGAATTCATACCTGCTAGTTCTAAACGATGGTCGAAGCCTTGGCATAATGTGTGAACTTGATTGTGTCTTATGCAGTAGCCATGTAAATGTGATGCATACAATATTTGAATGCAGTTAAGATATGTAACTACTATGTGGATGAGCTAAGACTTAGCGGAGCATCTACCTGCCCCTGACACTTGGTATTCTTTTACAGTTTCTTGATTCTAAGAACATGGAAGAGTCAGCAAGGGTCATTAGTCATGTTAATGCTTGATTTGTCTCCAGGAAGGAATATTATCATACATGCTAATAGTTTATTTCATTGCAGTCTGGAGGGACCCTATCCTCTCAGCTGTCTGGAAGGTTGTAAAGTCCTAGCGCTGTGATGGCGAACCATCGCCCGTTGCTCTTCTGGGTTCTGGTGCGCTGGCCAGCTGGTTTTCATGCGCATGGGCATGCTGGAAACCAGAAGAGCAGCCGCCCATTGCACATGCACACTCCAGGAAGTTGATCTTCCTGTTTCCAGAGTGCGCATGCGCATCGGCCAATTGGTCCGGTTTCTGATGCATGCGCGCACAAAGACCAGCAACAGGCACACGTACCAAAAGACATGGGGAGGGTATCTGGTGGTCGCTTCCTAAGGGAGCAGAATAAGGTAAGCTGGGGCTTCCCTCCCTGCTACGCAGGCTTCTTGCGCGGTCCCAGGCGGTCCGGAGCACCCTTCCCCAAATCCAAATTTGGCTTGCAGAGGCCAAAAAAGGTGCATTGTGTTTCAGGCGGCAGTTGGTTCCAGCCTGCGCTGCCGCCCGAAAACACTTTCCTCCCTGGTTCCCTGATGCACACTCCGCAGACATACTTTCTCTTTCCTCCTGGCTAGATCCGCCGCCTGAAATGGAATGCACTTTTTTGGCCTCTGCAAGCCCCGCTTTTGGATTCGGGGAGAGGATCGCAACCCTGCCACCCAAAAATGCTTGCCAAGATCATGGCAACAGTGTTTTCAGGCGACAGCGCCTTGCCTTACGCCACCTGCGCAGTGCCTGCTTTGCCAACTGAATCCTGACCTCCGCATTTCCCTGGGCCGCTTCTGGAATCAGGCTCCGACCAAGGCAGTGAAGGCTCAGGGGGCTTGCCAGGAAGCCCGGCACCCAGTACCCAGCAGAGAGGAGTCCAGGCAACGGTTCAGGGTCGCAGCAGAATGAGCAACCAAAGCCCGCCTCCGCCGGCACATCTGCCTCTCCCCCCACTTCTTGGAAAAAGAGGTGCTTGCCGGCCCTGGGCCCCCGAGGGAAGCGCCGGGTGGCTATTTTGAAAGGGGCAGGAGTGATTTATGCAAGCCGCAGGATACAGCCAGAGTCTCCTCAATCGGGGTGCCTCCCTGGGAATTGCTGTCTCGCCTGGTCCGGGTGTTTGGAAAAACAGTACACTACTGGAAGGAGAAGGGGAGAGGAGGAGGAGGAGAGACCTTACCCAAAGGCCAGCCGATAGATAAAAGCTGCAAGGCGCTGCCCTAGTTCTTTCAGGTGAGCCATCCCTGTGCAGCTCTCAGGTCTCTACCCAAACTGGCTTGGAAGCGGCGCGTGACCTTGCACCTGCGAGTGAGGCGGCGGCTGCTCTCGCCGGTAACTCAATCTACAAATTGGCGTGGTGGGCTCAGTTACCAGTGAGAACAGCTGCCACGCTCGCGCCTTCTCATCCAAACTGCCGGGTGTTGCTCCGGTTCTTTCTGTCACAGCCGCGTAGCCTTTTCTTCCAATTCTAGTTATGCCTTGGCATTCACAGCCGCGGCAGCTCAGCACTGCAGTTCCCCTCACTTCAACCAGCAGCCTCTGCTCACGTCAAGAAGCTGGTGGCCAGGCAGGAGGAGGATAAGGATGGGTGCAAGGTGACACACTGCTTCCAGACCAGTCCGGCCGGCTGGTGGGTGAGCAGGCAGCCCTCAGGGAAGAGCGCTGTACTGGGTGACACATCTCCTGGTCGCGGGCTGCATGCGGGGCCTGAAGCAGAGGGGTGAGCTTCCCTGGCCAGCTCATGGCGCTGCCAAGGTGGCAGGGCTGAAAGTGCTTCTGCCAGCCGGGGAACGGCTGTCTCGCCAGGGAAGAGGCTGGTAACTGGTTGTCCTCTGGTAAGAGGCACGCCGGCCCTCTTGGAAAAAGTGCGGATGCATGCGCAGTGTGGGGTGCATGTGCACATGCGCAGTGCGGGGGCACATGCACCTGGGGAGCATGGGGGAGTCATGCGCACATGTGCAAATGCCCATTGGATTATGGATGCTGGCACGTGAGAGCGTTCTTGCGCTCAGATTTTTGGCACGCAACGCCAAAAAGGTTCGCCATCACTGTCCTAGCTCTTTACACAAGCATTGGGCTGAGGGGAGTGAGCCCAGCAAATGTGGAGCTGATATGGCGATGATGTAAGCTGTGCTGGGAAGTGTGATGCTTTCCCTTCAATGGTGTGGAACTGTTTTATCTCTGTTTTTACAGGTTGTTTGATGTGAGCAACCAGCTATTGTTGTATATTTATTTATTTATTTATTATTTATTAATCAAATTTCTATACCGCCCTACTCCCGAAGGACTCAGGGCGGTGAACAGCCAAGATAAAATACAGATAATACAAATATTAAAAATCCCTTAAAATTATTAAATATTTTGGCCGAAACACAGATTAAAACACCCAATTTATAAAATCACGAATTAAAAATTTAAAAGAGGAGAGTTAGGCCAGGCCAGACTGCTGAAATAGAAAAGTTTTGAGAGCACGGCGAAACGTGCGCAGGTCCGGGATCCTCCGTATCTCTGGGGGGAGCTCGTTCCAGATGGTAGGTGCCCCCACAGAGAAGGCTCTCCCCCTGGGGGCTGCCAGTCGACACTGTTTGGCCGACGGCACCCTGAGGAGCCCCTCTCTATGGGAGCGTACTGGTCGGTGAGAGGCTATTGGTAGCAGAAGGCGGTCTCGTAAATACCCCGGTCCGATGCCATGGAGCGCTCTAAAGGTGGTAACCAAAACCTTGAAGCGCACCCGGAAGACCACCGGGAGCCAGTGCAGCTCGCGCAGGAGGGGGGCCACATGGGAGCACCACGTCGCTCCCATAACCACCCGCGCGGCTGCATTCTGGACCAGCTGGAGCCTCCGGGTGCTCCTCAAGGGGAGCCCCATGTAGAGAGCATTGCAGTAGTCCAAGCGGGAAGTAACGAGAGCATGAGTGACGGTATTTAACGAGTCCCGATCCAGAAAGGGACGCAACTGGCGAATCAGGCGGACCTGATAAAAAGTCCCCCTTTTTTAATCTGGATATAATCTGGATGGTCATAATTACATTTCTTAAATAAATATTAATAAACTTGATTTAATTTAAACAGAATAAATGGTGGTTAATTTTGTCTATAGGAATAACTGGGTCATTTAAAGACACAGCACCTACATCCATGCAATATGCTAAACCGTAAACTAGAGTAACAAAGCACTGTTGTGGAATACACATGCTGTGTCCAAGCAAATAAACTTGGCTGATTCACAAACAGATGCATGTGGTTTGGGGAGGGGGCAGTGATAAAATGTGTCTATTTATAGGGTATACAAAACACAGTTAAAACTGAGTAATACAATTTTAAAATAATAAAGCCCATAATTTTTCAAGAGAAAAATAATAGATTTAATTCTTAATTGTTTAATATGGAACCTTTGGTTGTAATTAATTCCCGGAGGCCTTCTGGAAGAGCCTCTTCTGCTTTCACCTGCTTCTGGAAGGCATGAAGGTGGAGACCATTCTTGCTTCAGGAGGGAAGCTGTTCCTAAGGAGGGTTAGCTGCTACAGGGAATGCCCACCTTGGACCTCCTCTTGCTGTGTCTCCTGAATCGTAAAAATGTTCCCTGTTATTTGGAGGGAACAGGCAAAGCCTATCAAGGAAGGGCAGGGAACAGAAACAGATTTAGAGGTGGTTGTCTCCCCTCCTTGCTTTTCATGGGAATCAGATTTGATTCCTTGTTATAGCTTACATTCCCTTTTAATTGTCATCATCCATCCACCCTGTCTTTCTGCAAGAGCCTAAAGGCCTGGTTCTGCTGGTCAGCTGGGGTCCAAATGGGGAAGTTCCACACTGGAGGTGGCTGCTGGATTAATGGCAGACTCCACCTCCCTCCCTCCTCTGCTCTCTACACCTCCATCTTCTTCTTCTTCTTTTTTTTTTTGGTAATGATGTTGTTGTGTTCTCATTGTGTTCTTTTTCATTGTTCATTTTATTCTGTTATACTTCTGTTTGCGCTCTTTCTATTTCTTCCTTTTTATTGTTGTAAGCTACCTAGAGTAGCCCCAAGGCAAAGTAGGCAGCAAATAAATTTAACAATTAATAAATTTGTTGGCCCCCCCCAATAAGTAGTGTTCCAGAATTGCTCCTTCTCTGCCCTTGATTTCTGCAAAAATAGAAGAGTTTGATAGCCAAATGCCATGAAGCTGTAAGTGCCTTTCTATCCCCCAAGTTGGATAGAAAGGCAAGGCCAAATCTCTCTCTCCCCCCCCCCCCCCCCCTTCCCTATATTGTAAATATCACGTGGCTACCTCATTTGGGGGCAAATGTTAAAGTGGGAGAATTCTAATTGCATCACTTTCTCTATTTAGGATGAAGGAATCCAGAGTGCAGATGTTGCAACTTCCAGCAATGCAGAGAATGAGCCCTGTGAGAAAGAAACCTCCAGGTGCCTGCCTGCCCAAGAGCCAGAGAGCCTCTCCCCTAGCGAAGGCCCCGTTAGCAAGAAGCGGCGACGTCATCTGCGTGAGGAGAAGGAAGGGAGGATGCGTCGAGCAGCCCCAACATTGCTGCCCATGGAGGAATTTCCTGTGCAGGTACTGGGAAGATTTGGTGGTCCTGCAATCTAAATCGGCCTCCTGCCTATATCCCACCCACCCACCATCTGCCCTTTGGGCTACCATACTCCATTGCCCCCTACCTGTGCTGCCCCCACCACTCTGCACTCTCCACTGCCCCCACCTGACCTTCGCTGTCTTCTTCCTCATGCTGTCAAGATAGGCCTGGCCCAGGCAGCTGCTGGCCCGTTGCGAGGCCTCCGCACAGCCTTCTCAGGCCTTGCGCAGCTAGCAGCTGCCTCAAGAAGAGTCAGGTTTGACACATCCTGGAAGTGGGAGGAAGAAGATGGCAAAGGTCAGCTGGGATGGCAGACTTTAGGACAGCCAAAAAGGTGGAGATGAGGGGGGAGGTAGATAGATGAGTGGTGGAGTTGAAGCAGAGTCAAGCACAATAGGGCAGAAGAAGCATGAGTTCTGGCCTATTGAGCACAACCACTGAGCTGCCATTAATATGCAGTGTGGTTGTGTGATGTGTTGCCTAACAACTCCTTTGTTTATTGATGGAAATTCCTGTCCCACTTAGGACAGTTAAGCTCAGACTATCTGTATTGATACACTGTAGGCTACAGTAACCGAATCTTGAAACCTGACAGTGTTTCTTCCCCTTCCCACTCTTACCAAAGAGAATCATGGTGGGACAATGTTTAGTTTCTTTCTAACACTTATTTTTCTAGGCTAAGTTCACCTTTTATATAAGGGTTAGCACATAATTTCTCCAAGATTGTGTCTGTACTCTGATCCATCAAATAACTGCATATATGCTTACCCAGAAGTCTTGGGTGTGAATGTTATGTAACACAGGTTTAGATTAGGTGTTTTTTAAAGTCCTTCCACTATGTTATCTACAGATAGTGATGAAGATAGACAGACAGACAGGCATTTACTCACATCCCAGCTGGGAAACAGTTGCATTTCTGTTTTCCTTACATTAGTAAACTTGGCCAAACTTAAAAAGTTATCCTACTTGTTCTGATTGTGGGTGAGGGAAATAAAAATCTAGAGCTGATTGATATCTTTATTGGGAACAATTAAAATAACACAAAAATACAGCATGTCAATTTATGTGAATATATGCAATCTTTCTGGCTTCTTTTCACTGCAGAGATTAATGACTCCTGCACAATTCATGATAATAATTTTTGGGTTTTGTGGCTGCAGATAAAATCTGAAGAAGATTTCCAGTGTGAACAGGACGATGTTCTCGGCTCTGCCTGGCAGCAATCCAGTCCCCAGCACAAGTTACTCCAATACTCAAAGTTTCCCAGCCCTGGTGCCTGTTCTGATTTTGACTGAGGCTGCCCACTCATCAAAGGAAAGCATATATACCCATGTGGCAGCTAGGCTGGCCATCAGGGTGCCCGAGATGAAAATTTCCTTGCAGGTGTCTTCTTTCCTTAGATATCAACCAGCATCTAAGGAACAGCAGGACATCAATCCCATCTGACTCCTCAACTCTAATCCAGTGAAAGATGTTCTGAACTGCTAAGGGTGGGGGAAGTGGTAGAAGTGGCGATGGAGTTTTAAGCAAGGAACAAAACTTTGGAGTCAATGTGTAAGAATATTCAATGGATTAGCTTGAGTCCCTGAGTTGAGTCCACAATGGACTCAACTTATGTCCATAAACTTTGAATGGGGAAGCTAGTTTTGAGCATTTATACCCTTTCAAGATTGAGGAAGGGCCCTTTTGAGGTCAGTGTTCAGCATATCCACATTGCCCTTCTGGTGGGAAAGGGGACTAGTGGTTGTTATGCATTAGAAAGTGCACAGAAAACAGCTGTTGCTGCGTTCTACCATGTGGTTTTCTGTGGATGTGGGAAAACCACGTGTTGAGGGAAGACTGAGTTCTTTCAATTTTTCTTCAGGGTTTTTAACTGTCTTGATCTATGGTATCATGAGATCCAGCATGATTAAAAGGCCAATTTAAGTCTGTATGAAAGGAAATAATTTCTGTGCTATTGACCTGGGTATTTATGCAAATTGTTTTATGTGTCAGTTTAAGAACTTAGCATATCTTTGCCAGTCCAGAAGAGAGCAAGAACTAGCACCCCTTTCCTGTCGTTTCCTCCTCAAGGAAACATCCAAAGAGTTTCAAGACTTTCCCGCTAGCCATAAAGACCAGGAAGTCCCCTGCCCCCCTCCCCCCACCCCCATATCCTCAAGTTAGGAATGATAATATTTGAACGAACCACTTTGCGGTCTAATTGCATTTTTGGATTTTAAAGGATTACAGAAATACAACTGAGAAATCTTCAAGCTTATGGCTTCTACTTTGTGGCAAGATTTGAATGAGATATTAAACCAATCAAACATGACAGCATGTCTACTCTCATTAATAGTGCATCTTATGCTTCCTTTAACCAAGATCTAAGGTGTAAGGGAGCCAATTTGGAGTAGTGATTGAGGCAACAGGCTAGATAGAAATCAGGAGGCCATTAGGTCTAGTTCTGCCCTAGGCACAAAGCTAGTGGGGTGACATTGGCCAGTCACTCACTATCAGCCCTAGGAAGGAGGCCAGGGCAAACCTCTTCTCAAAAATATTGCCAAGAAAACTTCAGCGTCTTATCCAGGCAATCACCCGGAGTCCAGGCTGACGCAAAGGTATATACGTGCATATGTACATTTGGGGGTGGGGGGTTTCCTATGGTTGTAGCAATGCAGTATGACACAGACAGTGTTTAAAGGAAAGATCATAGTTTCTGTAACCAAAACTGGCAGTCATTCTGAATTGACAGATGTGTTCAGCCTTAGACCAGCCTTAAAAGCTCAGCATGCTCTGTAAGGGAGGTAAGGTGGAGACAAGCATACTCTTACGAACCAGACTTAATACATTGCACAAATTGTGCCTGTAGTTTTTACTAGCACCCCTTGGCTCTACCAAAGAAAGTGAATCAGGCGCATAAACCACAATTAGCTGGGCCTCTATAGCACATTAAATCATTGACTGACCAACCTAAGTTTAAAAATTAACTATTGCATTGATTTATCATGCTACGGTGAAACCAAACAAACCATGTTACAGCTTAACATGTATAAACCCAGTCAAATTTTCCTCCAAGACTTTGGTTCAGTGTCCTAAAATTTAGAACTGGGTGGTAGAAGGAAGGAAACCCTTGTCAATAAACAATTGGGAACTGAAATGACTCCCATTTTTTTCCAAACAATTTTATGGCAGTGCAGTATCTTGTCTTCTCTTAAGGAGTGTTTATATTTCCTGACAATATGAAACAAAGAGTCTTCCTCATCTTCTCCCCCCCCTCCCCACCCCAACTGGTGTAGCAGGTTGTCAGTGTTTTTCTTTCACAAACTGCTGTTTGTGACAATATGTGCAATGGTATCAGACTCTTAACTCAAGAAAAAAATCCCAGTTCCATTAGTTTTAAAAAACCCATGACTTGATTGAGTCCCTTAAGAGCTTTAACAATCTGATTTTATGAGGATAGGTATTCCAAAAATTGCAGGGCCCCCCCCCCCCCCGCCCCCCCCCCCATCTAAATTTCCAATCACAAAGAGAAGTCTGCTTTTAGATAAGAACAGGAAATTTATTGCCCCTGGGAACAACACACATGTACAACCAAGGCAGGGGAAACTTTTGGGGAGATTTACACTCTGCAAATTTTCATTTCTTCAGCCAGTCGAGTTGATCACCTTCCTTGTCACAGGGATGAGCGGGAATATCTTGCATATTACCATCATCTCGAACTGGCACTATAATGAAGAAAGGACAATCATGAACATCAACTAAATGAGCATACTGTAAATGTCCAGCAGCAGCACTTATAAAATTATATACTATAAAGGAGGACATGGAGCACTTGATTCAGTGCCTGGATTCACATATTACACTAAACCATAATGTGCTTCTTTGGTTTTGGCCTAGCATGGGAAACAAATCCTGCCTTTGTGCTCTGTACGTTGTGATAAGTTAAGTATATAAATCTATTCGGGCCTCATTTCAAATCTAACGTGCTAAGGCAAAATGTAGCTCTTTTATTTGTAGCTAAGCATTCAGGTGGTCCTTGATTTATCATCATTTGTTCAGCAACTGTTTGAAATTATAATGGCACTGAAAAAAAAGTAACAACCAGTCCTTGCACTTACGACTGTCGCAGCTTCCCTGCAGTCAAGTCAAAATTCAGGCCCTTGGCAACTGACATGGATTGATGATGGTTAAAGCATCACAGAGTCACATGATCACTATCTGTGACCTTCCCAGCTGGCTCCCAACAAGCAATGTCAATTGGGGAAACTGGATTCACTTAATGACATAGTGTTCACTGAATAACTCATGATTCAATTAATGGCCAGGGCATTGTCATTCAGGTGCAACTCGCTTAACAATGGTTTCACTTAGCAATGGAAGTTTCTGGCTCAATTGTAAGTCGAGGACTACCTGTACTGTACAGATATTCCTTGAGTTGTGATCACAATTGAGCCCAAACTTTCTGTTGTTAAGTGAGCCTTGCCCCGTTTTACAACCTTTCTTGCCACAGTTGTTAAATGAATTACTTGAGTTCCTAAGTTAGGAAGAGGATTGTTAAGAGAATCTGGCTTCCCCATTGACTTTGCTTGCCAGGAGGTCACAAAAGGTGATCTCATGACCTTGGGACACAGTGACGGTCATAAATATAAACTGGTTGCCAAGCATCTGAATTTTGATCCCATGATCCTGGTGACGCTGCAAAGATAACTGAACGATGTCACATTTTTCAGTGCCACTGTAACTTTGAACGGTCTCTAAATGAATTGTAAGTTCAGGACTACCTGTATTATGTAAGCACATTCACATGTCAATCTAGCTAATTGTAAATTCATTTAATCTCTTTAAGTAAATGTCTTGAATTCAGCATCACTGCATGAGATTTAGTTCACTGATTTACCTACAATTGAATCAATACACTAAGCTATATCTTTATATACCATAATGGTTGGGATGCCCAAATATCAGAAAACTACCCATGGCCAACACAGAGAAATCTGAAAATAGGAGTTTTCCCTCTATTTTTTAAAATTTTGTCTCTGATGCCAATTCTCTGCCTGCCCAACCCAATAATAACTAAAACAGAAAGAAAAATAGTTTAAATTGCTCTAGAACATCCCATCCTTCTGTCTCTCTTCATACAGGCAGTCCGTGGGTTAAGTATGAGATCCATTCCTAAGTCTGTCTTTAATTTAAATTTGTATGTAAGTCGGAACCTGTGCTTACAGACAGGTTGCCTATCACTAAAAATGTTAGCATTCTCCTTCCTTCAGCTGATGAAATGCTGAAGCCATGCAATATTTTCATGAGCCCTGAAAACAGGCTGTATATTAAAAATGTGGTGGCTTCAGCAATTCATGTAAACAATCACAGAGCTGGAAGGGATGTTGGAGGTCTTCTAGTCCAACCTCCTGCTTAGGCAGGAAGCCCTATACCATTTCAAACAAATGATTGTCCAATCTCTTCTTAAAAACTTCCAGTGTTGGAATATTCACAACTACTGGAGGCAAATTGTTTCACTGATTAATTGTCAGGAAATTTCTCCTTAGTTCTAGGTTGCTTTTCTTCTTGCTGAGTTTCCATCCATTGCTTCTTGTCCTGCCATCAGGTGCTTTGGAGAATAGCTTGATTCCCTCTTCTTTGTGGCAGCCTCTGAGATATTAGAACACGGCTATCATGTCACCAGTGGTGAAATCTAAAATTTGTTACTACCGGTTCTGTGGGCGTGGCTTGGTGGTGGTGGTGGGTAATGTGACTGGGTGGGTGTGACCAATTTTTTTTTACTTTTAAAACCATTTTTTACATGTAAAACCATGTAAAAAAATGGTTTCAAAAGGCTCTGGCGATCCCAGCTGAGTTGCCTGATTGTCAGAGGGTTTTTAAAAAACCCTCTGCCGATCAGGCAACTCAGCTTGGATCGTCAGAGCCATTTAAAAGAAAAAAAGCCTCTGATGATCGCGCGGCTCAGCTGGACATGGGGGGTGGGGGCAGGGATTTTTGCTACCGGTTCTCCGAACTGCCCGCCGCCATCGCTACCTACTTGCCCGAGCCGGTCCGAACCGGGAGCATTTCACCCCTGCATGTCACCCCTAGTCCTTCTTTTCATTAAACTAGACGTACCCAATTCCAGCAACCATTTGTCATGTTTTAGCCTCCAGGCCCCCTAATCATCTCTGTTGCTCTTCTCTGCACTTTTTCCAGAGTCTCAACCTCTTTTTTACATTGTGCCAACCAAAGCTGGATGCAGTATTCCAAGTGTGGCCTTACCAAGGTATTATAAAGTGGTATTAACATTTCACATGATCTTGAGTCTATCCCTCTGTTAATGCATCCTAAGACTGTGTTGGCTTTTTTGGCAGCTGCTGCACACTGCTGGCTCATATTTAGGTGATGTGAAAACTTTGTGGCTTCAGTGATTTATCAGCTCAAGGAAGGAGAAGATCATTTGCCATTTTTAGAAGCAGGCAGCCTGTTTCTAAGTATGAGTCGTTCATAAGTTGGACATTCTACATGCAGGGGCTCCCTGTGCCTTGCTCCCAATAAATCGTTCAGTCACATGCATATGTGCAACATGTTACATATTAAAAACAGATGAAAACTGCTTCTCTGCTACCCCTAAAACACCAAAACTGCTTCTAAAAAATAGAAATGTGTATGTACCTGGGTAGTGATATGGCATACGCTCGTTCATTAAAGTGGAATAACGGGTATAGGGGCTCACCCATGGCAGTGCTGCAGCTGAAATAATGAAAACAAAGATACGTGCCAGAAATATATTTTATATATATAATATATATATATATATATATATATATATATATATATATATATATATATATATACATACATATATATAAGTCAAACCTGTGCTACAAATCACTAAGGATTTGGAAAGGGGCCAAGATTGGAAATACGAGGAATGTAATCTAGAACAGAGTTCCCCAACCTTTCCAGGTTGGCAGCCCAGAGTGGGGGAGGGAGAAAAAAGAGGGGACTGTTTTGTGGGAGGGGCAGATGCATGCAGGTGTAAGAACACCCACTGCTCATATAAGTGGGGCCACGAGCACCCGTGACAACACTCACACAAGTGGGGCTGTGCATGACCAGCTACTCACGTGACCTGGTGGCCAATAGGCCATGGACCAGTAGCAGGCTGTGGCCCACAGAGAACCCTGATCTAGAATCTTTAATGCAACATAACTTTTTAAAAGCTTATCCTGGTTCTGCCCCAGTGTTATGGCTGCCACAGCCCTTCTCCCCTTAGTATTTCAAGGATACTAAAAGTTGAAAGAATAAAATATGTAGATTCTCAATCATCTAGTCATGGTTGACCCAAAGGTGCTTTTCGAAAAGGCAACCGGTCTTTTTTGGTTTTTTTCTTGAAAATGTTTCACTTCTCACCCAAGCTTCAGCTTCTTCAACTTCTTGGATGAGAAGTGAAACATTTTCAAGGGGAAAAAAAAAACCCAAGAATTCTTTTGCCTTTTGGAAAAGCACTTTTGGGGTTTAAGAATAAAACATATTTGGATTTCAGGGAACCTCAGTGTACACTCACCCACAATTGCAATGACTAGGGAGCTTACGATCACTGGTTCCTTGCCCCATGCAGTTTTCACATATGTTACCATTCCTGCAGAAAGATGAAGTGGCATTTTTTTGATACACAGATCTGTTTTCCACAGTAGCATCTGGAACTGTTTACTCAGGCTGATCTGGGCTAGCAAATCCAAAGTGCCTTCCCAACTTTCAATTGATAAAGATAACCCGTTCAGCTACCGTATTAAGTCACTTCAAAACTTGATCAGGGGAATCTGGATAGCACCTTTTCCAATTAACATTTCATTAAAAAGGCATAATGTGATGTCTTTTAATAAAACGTGTTAATCAGAAAGAGTGCTACTAGATTCTTCCTGGTTTTCTTCTTGCTAATTTGGCTACATAGCTCTTCTAGGATGAATATTAATTTGAATAAATTCGGTTCCTCACATAGCCACTGTAAAATCAGGCACACAAGATGTCGGTTTAGAATTGATTAAAACTGAAACTTTGCAGCCTTCTGAAATCAAATGGACAGTTCTCCATTATTTTAAAACAGCCAACCTATTATTATACAAGTGTCTGGAAAACTTTGTTTTTGTTAGATTTTGCTGTTTTCCTGGTCTTTATTATTTTTTTTAAGGCAGTAAATACCCTACATAGGAGTCCTGAGGGCAATGGACAGAATACAGGTAGTCCTAAACTTACAACCACAACTGAGCCCGAAATTTCCATTGCAAAGCCAGACAGTTGTTAAGTGAATTTTGCCCCATTTTATGACCTTTCTTGCCACAGTTGTTAAGCGAATCACTACACATGTTCAATTAGCAAACAGTTGTTCAGTGAATCGGGCTTCCCCATTGACTTTGCTTGTCTGAAAGTCGCAAAAAGGGTATCCCATGACTCCAGGACACTGCAACCATCATAAATATGTGTCAGTCGCCAAGCGTCTGAATTTTGATCACGTTATCCTGGGCAACGGTCGTGAGCATGAAAAACAGTCGTAACTGTCACTTTTTAGTGCCGTTGTAACTTTGAAAGGTCACTAAATGAATTGTTTGAAACCGTGGTCTACCTGTACTATACTTTGAAGGGGGTAAAAATGGAATTTAAATCAGTGGTAAAATCCAAATTTTTTTACTATTGCGGCCATGGCTTGGTGGGTGTGGTGCGGCTTGCTGGCCGTGGCAGAGGCAAAATCTCCATTCCCACCCCACTCCTGGGGGAAGGATATTGCAAAGTCTCCATTCCCTCCTCACTCCTGGGGGAAGGATATTGCAAAAACCCCATTCCCACCCCACTCCTGGGAGAAGGATATTGCAAAATCTCCATTCTCACTCCACTCCTGGGGAAAGGATATTGCAAAATCCCCATTCCCACTCCACTCCTGGGAGAAGGATATTGCAAAATCCCCATTCCCACTCCACTCCTGGGAGAAGGATATTGCAAAATCTCCATTCTCACTCCACTCCTGGGGGAAGGATATTGCAAAATCCCCATTCCCACCCCACTCCTGGGAGAAAGATATTGCAAAATCCCCATTCCCACCCCACTCCTGGGGGAAGGATATTGCAAAATCCCCATTCCCACTCCAGCCCTGGGGCCAGCCAGAGGTGGCATTTGCCGGTTCTCCGAACTGCTCAAAATTTCCGCTACCTGTTCTCCAAAACCTATTTGAACCTGCTGGATTTCACCCCTGATTTAAATGTAATGAATGAAAAAACAAACAAACCCCTCCATGGCGTCATTGCCCTCCGTTACATGACTTTCCAACAACCTCTGCACAGGATCTACGGAATCCTCATCGCCCTTCCATCCTCCTCCTCCTCCGTCTTTCCACCATCGCACCCCTAGACACCCTCTACAACAAAGGCCCGCCATGTATACCCTTCCATCTCCCAAGGACACGGTCCTCCCGCCCGCCACAAACTCTTTTCTCCCACTTAACTGTTTAAGGGAGACATCTTGCAATTCAGGCAATACTGCGCCGGCAGGCCGTCTGGGAAGTGTAGTTTGGTGGCGTTCTTCCTCCCTCTCTCTGATTGGTTGGCAGGCCCCGCCTGTAAGATGGGCCAGGCTCTACTATTCCTTTTAATATTTCAGGGATGTACACCGTATCTTTTCCCAGGCGATATAAAGTTGTTTTCTAATTCTGAGTATAAATAATTAAACTTTCCAATATTTTACGTCCATCCCAAGCCGATTGCGAGAAAATCGCTTGCTCTGGCGTTATTTGCAACCCGAATAGAGAAAAGGCTGGATTTCCGGCCACGTGTAGTTTTCCTTAAATGTTTTATCTCGTTTCCTGTTGCCTGGGTTGCAAAGTAAAACATTCACATCTACACCAGGGCGTGCTTAAAGTGCCCCTTGCTATCCCTTTCTCTCTCTCTCTCTCTCTCTCTTTTTTAAAAAGACAAACAAACATTTAGTACATCATTCATTTCTTCCATGTGACATTTCGGTGTTATCTTCAAAAGTTTCTTCTCTCCTGTCTTCAATCTCACCAAATCCATTTCAAAGATTTTCCACTAATATATTATTCTAATTACAACCAATTTTTAAAAATCTCTTTTAAAAAACTTATTTGTATCTCTTTTCTAACCAATGGTAAAATTTATTCCATATCTTAAAATATTCTGTATCTTCTCTTTTCTTTATCATAGTTAATCTATTCATTTCTGCACAATCTAAGATTTTTTTAAATTACTTCTCCCTCTGAAGGTATATTCTCTGCTTTCCAATTTTGTGCATAAACAATCCTTGCTGCTGTTATTACATGTATAATCACATATAAATAATCTTTACTAGTTTTCTCTGGTAATATACCCAATAGGAATTTGCTATCCCTTTCTCAATGGAGAAAGAGTATCCGTGTGAATGTGGTTTGCAAATGGTTGGATTAACCGGGAATAGAATGATGCAGAGAATGCAAATATTTTCTTTTCTGAGAACCACTCAAGTCTTTTTTATTTTATAAAGTGCTGCAAGCTTGGATTCAATTTCCCCCTCCTTTTGGATGTTGTCATGTCAAATCTTCCTCAAGGTAGTTCAACCTACAGTGAGGAAAGTTTCTGTCTAAAACATATATTCCACTTACATACAATTACACCAAAATCACATTCTTACACTATGCTACATCACGATTCCTTTTAATCATTATTGCATAAACTATAATTGACCACTAGACTCAACTAAGCTAAGCTAGAACCAAACTTGTAATAATTATACATACCGGTATGTACCTAAGAGAAAAATGTGTCTTTAATAATGCTAATACCCATAGATAGCAAGGACAATTGATCACAATGGTTTGCAGATAAAAATGCAAAATTTATACAATCATTTTCAATCCCTAATACAATATGTATAATTAATATGAATGCATAATTAATTTTTATTTACTTGAGATCATGTCACACTGTGGGATCTGTTAGACCCAAGACAACCCCACAGAAAAATGACTAACTGCTGTTCTCTTAACCATCCTTTTTTCCTACTGAATCATCAGGGTCTTTCCCAGCCCTGAGTGAAGAACATTTTCAGCATTGCTTGATCTTGACCACAATACTCCTGTTTTTGAGAAGGGGAAAAAAAAAAAAACTAGTTCCCTTTTGAAGTATGCAGGCTACAGGATAAAAATGTTATGTTTTGTGCAGCTGTAGAGTGTATTGATAGTGAGCTCCTCTTATAATTTTTCCTCCGTATAGTAGAAATTTAGGGAAAGATAGATAGATATAGATAGATGGATGGATGGATGGAGAGAGATAGACAGACAGGATGGATGGGTGATTGTGAAGGAAATCAATAAGTTACTCTTTTATAAAAATATTAAATGTATTAAAAAGCTATGATGTTCTTACTGTTGGAAACTGACGACAAATTCTAATCAGTAGAGACAATGTGTTATGACTTGCTAAAAGCTGCCTTGGAGACAGGAACCTATGCCTTGGGCAAAACCATTTTCAGTAAAAAGGAACATCCACCCAAGGTGAAATTAAAAGTAAACATGATAAGATAGTTGTTGTTAGGCAGGAAATGTCAAGATGACCCTTTAAAGTGTAAAACAACTTGAAGAATGACTTAGGGGAATAAAGGGGAGTTGGGAGGGATTCCTAGGCATGGTGTGCATTGTGTAGGAGTATAAAATGTATAGCTTGAAAACTGCTTTTTGTGCTCTTTGAACTCAATCCATTTGGGAAGGGTCTAAGAGGCTGCGCTTGCAACCGCTTTTTATTTTTCTTTATGCTTATGAATTATGAGGCTTAAAATATCTAGGTCTTATATCTCATGGATGGATGGATGGATGGATGGATGGATGGATGGAGAGAGAAAGAGAGACAGGATGGATGGATGGATGGATGAAGGATTCATCATCAAATGCTTGTTAGTCAAACAAAAAACTATCAGTTCTTCCCTTTAAAAATTCAGATAATAGATAGATGGAAGCAAAGAGTTATTTTGGTGGAGCCATCTTAGTGGCTACCCAGTTTTTTGCAGCCCATATCTGTTCTACAAAGAAGGATCTCTTCAGTGAACCTTACTTCAGTAATCACCTCTTATTTCTTGAAAAAAGAAAAGAGACCAAGCTGAAGTGCCAGACAATGCCTTCTAAGCATGTGACTAAAGTTTGGATAATTCACTAGATTAACTGGATTCCTACTTCTGGCTCTAAATCATAGTTTGAATAACTGGCATTTAGCCTGTTGAGAGTCAGGTGGCATGCAAGTTAAATAAATTATCTGTTCACAATAATGGGAGGTCATGGCTATCAGTTCTTTTGCTGGTGTTGTCCCTCGTATATGTTGAATTCTTCTCAAGAACCTAGAATGTCATAAGGCAGGGGTGTCAAACTCGATTTCATTGAGGGCCGCATCAGGGTGGTGTTTGACCTCCAGGGTTAGGATGGGCATGGCCCAGTGGTGGGTTGCCCCTGGTTCGGACCGGTTCGCAAGAACTGGTAATAAAACTGGCGAGAGGCTCCGCCCACTGATCCTGATGTCATCAGGATGCTTCTGCGCATGTGCAGGTGTGCACTTACGTGCTTGTTTTGCTTGCGCGCGCATGTGGCTCCGTGGCAAACTGATAGTAAAGGTAAGTAGAACCCACCTCTGGTGTGGCCAGCTCGATGTCACCTGTATCGGAGGCGCATGTGATGGCCCGAGCACTCTGCCAGCGAAAACAGGCTCCAAAGCTCCATTTTCAGCTGCGACGGCCTCCTGCAACCCTCTTCCAGCAAAAATGGAGCTTGTGAGGACCGCACACAGCCCTCCAGAGTTGGCAGAGGCACCGTGGGCCGGTCCTTCGCTGTTTACAGGCTGGCCCCATGGGCCACATCTAAGCACCTTGCAGGCTGAATCTGGCCTTGAGTTTGACACCCTGTCATAAGGTATTAGCCTACTTGGCACTTGTGTAGATCCAAGAAGTGTGGCTTTTCATAATTGACATGCAGAAATTTTGTCAATGTGCAGATTTTCTAAGTGCAACCCAACGTTTTTTGATATAGCATCCAGTGTGGCGATAACCACTGGGACCATCGCAGCCAGTTTAAGCCATAATCTTTGAACTTTCATTTCAGGTCTTTGATACTTCGTGTTCTTTTCCAATTCTTCTATTCTGCTATTTCCTGGTATTGCCACTTTAATTATCTACACTTTCTTCTTTAAATCTGTTGTGTTATGTGCCAAGGATTTATTAGTTTGTATTCAGAAATTCCACAATATTTTAACATGCTCGTTTACTATTTTTCAACTGTGTTCACACCAATTTTTCATTACTGGCACAGGATAATTTTTACAGATGTTCCAGTGAATCATTTTGGCAACTGTGTTATATCATTCTTTATAATCTGTTAAGTGATCTTTTTTGCATAAGCTACTGGGTTGTTGTTGTTTTTGCCTCTTTGCACAATTTTCATTTTGAATCATTGGTCAAATTATTATTATTATTATTATTATTATTATTATTATTATTATTAGGCTAGGAATACCAACAAATTGCAGTATAAATAGCTGAATTATAAACTGTGGTTTGCATACCACAATAGATGAGTTCATACAACATGATGGCTATGCTTACATAATATAATAATTCAAAATGTGATTTGCTCATTTATTTTATTTTATTATTTGTATCCTGTCTTTATTATTTTTGCAAATAACTCAAGGTAGCGAACAGACCTAATATTTCTTCCTCCTCCTATTTTCCCCACAACAACAATCCTTGGTGTGGATTGGGCTGAGAGAGAGTGACTGGCCTAAAGTCACCCAGCTGGCTAAGGCAGGATTTAGAAGAGGATAGGATAGGATAGGATAGGATAGGATAGGATAGGATAGGATAGAATAGAATAGAATAGAATAGAATAGAATAGAATAGAATAGAATAGAATAGAATAGAATAGAGTTGGAAGGGGCTTTGGAGGTCTTCTAATCCAACCCCCACTTAGGCAGGAAACCCTACACCACTTCAGACAAATGGTTATCCAACCTCTTCTTAAAAACTTCCAGTGTTGGAGCATTTGAACTCATGGTCTCTTGATTTCTAGCCTGGTGCCTTAACACTAGACCAAACTGGCTCTCAGTTTCTGATTAAGGGTGTTCTGTGGATCTAGGAGACGTGGTTTGCAAGCTTTGTGCTAAACTACTTAGCATAACAGCTGTGTTGTACACAAAACGCAAGCCCAAATGAGATTTACAGTACTTGTTTTTGGCAAGTCTGAATATGAAGCACTATGGTTTATAACCAGTGGTGAAATCCAAATTGTTTTACTACTGGTTCTGTGGGCGTGGCTTGGTGGGTGTGGTGTGGCTTGGTGGGCGTGGCAGGGGAAGGATACTGCAAAATCCCCATTCTTTCCCCACTCCAGGAGGAAGGATATTGCAAAATCCCCATTCTTTCCCCACTCCAGGAGGAAAGATATTGCAAAATCTCCATTCTCTCCCCACTCTGGGGCCAGCCAGAGGTGGCATTTTCCGGTTCTCCGAACTAAAAATTTCCACTACCGGTTCTACTGAACCTGCTGAATTTCACCCCTGTTTGTAACCTATAGTTATAGCGTAACATAGTGCATGAACCAAATCCAGGAAGAATGGTTTAGTCATCCAAAGTAAACCAGGACTTAGTACACAGTATAAATGTAACCATTATCAAGATAACACTTTTTGGCAGATTTTTCTGCTTACCTTAAAATAAAGCTCCTGAAGCTCATTTCAAAGTAATTGAGCAGCTCAAATCAGAATTCTTTTATTCTTCCATTAGTTTTTAAAAAAAATTTTTTCCTCTTTTACTTCCCTTCCTAACTATCATGACTGATGATCTATCACTGTTTCCTGGGAGGGGAGAATCACATTTCTCAGAGCCTTGAGCCCTTTTCTTACTCATTTGCAGGCTGCATCTCTGTAAAGATGCCCGTTACTCTCCCTTTCCTGCTCCTTACAATCTGTGAGTATTGTTCGGGAGGATCCTTGAGACTCTGTAACCCTTCATCCTGGGAATGGTTCTTCTGGAGGTGGAGCCAGACTTACCATTGAAGGACGAAGGGGCTGTTGGCCAGAGTAAGATGATTTGGGGTGCCTAGACAAGGCCTTGCAGTTTTCCTGGCAAGATTTTTGGAAGTGGTTTGCCATTGCCTCTTTCCTAGGACTCGGAGAGAGTGGCTGGCCCAAGTTCACACAGCTGGCTTTTTGTCTTAGATGGAACTAGAACTCCCAGACTCCTGGTTTCTAGCCTGGTGCCTTCACCACTACATCGCTCTTAGGGTTTGTGGGGAAGGGAGGGGCTTGTTATTCCATCTGAAGCAGGATTGTATGTGAATTGGGCTCTTGGGATTGGGATGATGCATGAATCCAATCAATTTCAGCAGATTCTGCAAACTACAATCAAGCAAACAATGGTCTAGCATGACACTGAACCAGGGTTTTGTATGCCTATCAGTCTTTACCAGTACAACACCTTTTGGTTGTGCTGGAACTGAAATGTTTGGAAGTTACAACCCAACATATCTGAGTTCATCAGGCTAGCCACCTTAGATATAAGATAAAAAACTGAACTTCTCAAAAATAAGATTTCTGAGCTGCTTGGAGACTCTTCTGTCCACAGTATTGCAGAGGGAATACTTGATCTAGATTTGGCATCATGTTCTCCTTGTCTGGTAATGAGGATATGCTCACAGCCATTTTAATATATCTTCCTCCTTCAAGATTCATTAACCAGAGGCAGACATTTAACCAGTGGTGAAATCCACATTTTTTTACCAGTTCTGTGGGCGTGGCTTTGTGGGCATGGTGTGGCTTGGTGGGTGTGGCTTGGTGGGTGTGGCTTGGTGGGCGTGGCAGAGGAAGGATACTGCAAAATCCCCATACCCTCCCCAGTCCTGGGGGAAGGATATTGCAAAATCTCCATTTCCACCCCAATCTGGGGCCAGCCAGAGATGGCATGTGCCAGTTCTCTGAATTACTCAAAATTTCTGCTACTGGTTCTCCAAAACCTGTCAGAACCTGCTGGATTTCATCCCTGCATTTAACCCAGGGGAAACATCCAGAGTGGGTATTATTGTTAGAGCTGCCAGTTCAGGTGTGCAAAAATCTAAATGACCACTAGAAGGCAATAAAAAGATGTTCAATTAATCTTCTACTGCCATCTGATGGTTGTGCCAATTTTTGCAGCTCAGATTGATAGCTGTAACGGTTGGTTTTTGAAGAAACTATGGAGTTTTGGATTCAAATTCTGGTTTCAGTAAAGCCCAACAGTCCAGTTTTGGAGAGGACAGGACTCCAAATAAAATGGTGGCACATTTGTTTTTATTCCCTCTTAGCCATGGGTTTGTTTTTTGTACAAATGTAGACTCCCTTTGGCTAGCATTATTCATCATCTTACAGCTTGGTTTACCTAATCATGGTTGACTGAGTAACCTTCAATTGGAATGATTTACACTGCATGCATTAAACCAAAACCAAACAAATCACACTTGGCTTGGCATGTTTGGTGATTCAAGCCTCCCCGTTCTGTCTCTTCTCTAGCTTTGCCAAAGCCATCCATTGTATGGCACCAAGCTCAAGATGCGATGGAAAAGCACCAGCTTCAGTGCTCCGCCAAGAGGAATATGCAGGCAGCTGGTTCTCCTTATACATGGGAGAAAGTCAGAAGCCGGTAGCTCAAAAGAAAGCTTTGCCAACAGAATCTACTGCCACCTTTGAGGTCCATGAGGTTGGTCCAGATGAACAATTCCATTGCAGCTATGAAATCTGGGAGGCTGGGAAGGCAATCCGCTCTCCGCTCAGCCAGCCTGCAAACATTACAGAAGGTGAATATTAAGATGAATCTATCTTCTCCCTCCCTCCCTCCCTCCCTCCCTCTCTCCATCCATCCATCCATTTTACAACAAATTGTAAGTCAAGAATTACCTGTACATTCTATAGTTCTCTGGTGCAGAAAGCTGAAAATTGGTCTCTATGAACCTCGTTTTATTTGCTATTCTCTGAAATCAAAGGTAATTTAGCTCCAAAGCTTAAAAAAAAAAAGGAAGGAAGGAAGGAAGGATTGCATCCTTTTTTTATTTTGAAAAGCAACATTACATTTCAATCCTAAGGAAAGATCTGTTGTTTGAAATATGTTCAGACCAGATCAAATGTCAACCATGCTCCAAACTGGGGCAGGATAGAAGAGCTGTGGAATGGCAATTACTTTCAGTTGTAAAATTATTTTCAAATTGTAAAATTACTTTCAGTTAGTAAAAATTCTTCAATTCCCATTGTCCTCAGCCAGTTCAGCTAAAAGATGGCTTGCCTAGGAATGCTGACTTCTAACTGCAGATATAAAAACTTGGTTTTTATCTATGTTTTTAAAAAAAAACAATAGAAAAAGCCACCTTTTATTTAAATTAGAAAAGCTTGCTTCCAAGGAAACAGAGCTAGCTACTATTCTGAAAGGAAATATATTGTTTTTCATTCCTCCCTGCCTGGGGTGCTGGCATATACCAGGCAGAGAATAATTTTTATTATGTTTTGTTTCATTTGATGCTCTGGAGCAGTGTTCCCCAATCTCAGCAGTTTTAAGATGTGTGGATTTCAACTCTCAGAAGTTGAAATCTACAGATCTTTAAATTGCTGAGGCTGAGAAACATTGCTTCAGAGCAGAAGTGTCCAACCTTGGTAATTTTAAGACTTGTGGACTTCAACTCCCAGAATTCCCCAGCCAACCATTCTGAAGTCCACAAGTCTTAAAATTGCCGAAGTTGGGAAACCCTGCAATAAATAGAGGGGGAGGGGCACATTATAATAACCAATTAACTTGGTTAGACCTGAAGCTAAATGTAAGGCTTTTCTCTCTTCCAGTGCATTTCCTGAAGCCCTCAATTGTTGCAAGTCCCAGCACAGAAATCTCAGTGGGACAGGACTGGACACTCCATTGTTCGGCTCCATTTTCAGGTGTCAGTTTCGTCTTCTACCAGGCCAGGGACTTCCGGTATGAGGTCATTCCTCAAGGGAATGCCAACGTGGCTGAATTCTCCCTGAAGAATGTCTCAGAGGCTGATGAAGGACGGTACACATGCTACTACCACAGCCTCACCGACCCCGTCATCTGGTCCAATGCCAGCAGCCCCGTGGTGCTGAAAGTCCTGGGTGAGGAAAGACAAGGAGGTTGCATCTTGCCAAAATTAAAGCAGATGGATCTTTTCCTGAATTGTACAATGAGTGAGGAATGGGTGGCTCCATGTTGGGATTGACTGAGACAGAGTTTGGTGTAGTGGTTAAAGGCATCAGGCCAGAAACTAGGAGATTGTGAATTCTAGTTCTGGCTTAGGTCCTGGCTGGGTGGCTTTGTGAGTTCTAGTCCCACTTTAGGCATGAAAGCCATCTGGGTGACTTTGGACCAATCACCAGGAGCTTGTGAGTTCTAATTCTGTCATAGGCATGAAAGCTGATAGACAGGACAGGATTTTCCTATAGGCTAACTAGGCTTCAGCCTAGGGCCTCAAGATCAAGAGCGGCCTACACAGTGGTGGGATTCTGGAGGTTCTAGGGGGTTTGGCCGAACCCTTTGTTAAATTGCTGGCTCGTCCGCCCCTCACCTCCCACCCGTGCGGCGCCAGCCTACCGTAGCCAGGGGTAGGCAATTGTGGCTCTTTTACAACCTGTGGCCTTCAACTTCCAGAATTCCTGAGACAGCTTGGCTGTCACAATTGCCCACCCCTTCCCTAGCCTGAGTTCCGCTGCCTGGGATCCAGGACGCAAGAGAGCAGGATGGAGAAGGCATGCCGGATGCAAGAGAGCAGGATGAAGAAAGCAGCTTCCACGCCTTCACTCACCCTCACTCTCTGCTCTGTTGGATCGCCGGCCGTTCGCTTACCCTGCCCGCTCCCCATCTATTGCTGCCTCCGATGGCTGGAGGAAAAAAAACTGTTTAAGTTCTTGCCGCGGGGCTTCAAAGGGCCGCCCTATAGCCAGTGGTGCAGCCGAACCCTTTGTTAAATTGCTGGCTTGCCCCGCCCCTCTGCACCACTATTTATTGCCAATAAATAGGGCGAGGGGCGAGGGGCGGGGGAGCCAGCAATTTAACAAAGGGTTCGGTGTTTTTTTTGTAATTTTATTGGCCCACGGAGCTTCAGCAGAGGCTAATTGGCCTCCCGGCTCTCAGCTGATTTGTCTCAGCTGTTTTGCTCAGGGCTCTTCTGCTTCCTTGCAAAGAGTGTTGATTTTTTTCCCCCTAACTATGCTGAGAAACGAAAGTGAAACTGCTTTGCTGTTGCTGCAAGGTTGGAAAATTAGGCAGGCAGAATTCTTTTCTTTTTCCTCACCAAAAAAGGTAGGTGCAAACAATGGAAAATTTAGGGAAAAAGAGGAGAGTTCAGGATTTTAAAACACAAAAGAAAAAAAAGCTCTATTTAACTAGGGAATTGTAATAATTGAGATACTATTAATTGTATATTTCTGAAAGCAGAAATGGTTAAGTTGTGGTTTGGAGGAATATATGGGAAAAATTATTTGGTTTATTATTATTGGTAAATATAATTAATTGATTTGTAAGAAATTGGATTGCATGGAAATAATTGGAATATTCATGTTCATATTGATTAATATACAAAAAAGGTAGTTATATAACTAATTGATTTATATTAAAATGTTGAATTTATATTAAACAACTAATATTACATAATTAACCAATGTGAGGATGGATATAAAAATGACAATGGGAAGGGGTATAATATAGAATAGAAGGGAAAAATTGAATTTGATTAAGATTAGAGATGAGGATGAAGGTAATATTGGTTTTTTACAAAAATAGATGAGGAATAAATATGGCAAAAAGGAAATATAGAAATTGTACATTTAATTGAAATGACTAAACTGTTTAAATTTGTGAACCGGCCAAATACTCTGTTCAAAGAAAATACATTGTATGTTTGTATGTGTGTTTCTAATTATTGTTATTTATTCATATTTGTTCTCTTTTATTCTTTAAAGTTTAACAGTTCATTATTTTATCTTAATATCTTTATATTTGTTTGGGGTTGGCTTTCTTCCCTTTCATCTTTTTTATTGTACAGCAATCTTTCTCCTCAAACCTACCACCTCTCTCTTTTCTTTCCTTCTTACTTTCTCTTCCTCCCCCTCTTCTTCTCCTCCCTACTTCCTCTTCCTTTCTCCTTCTCCTCCTCTTTTCCTCCCTCTCTTACCCTCCCTCCTACTCTAATTTCCCTTCCCTTCCTTCATCCCTCTCTATTGCTGTATCCTTTTATGCATATGGACTACTCAGAGGGCTGAAAAAGTTATTTCTGACTGGTCCTCGCACTTTTGACCAGTCCTCGAACTTACGACTGTCCTCACATTTTACGTTTTTGCCCTATCTTGTCACCATGGTGAAGAGAAGCAGTTGTGAAATGAGTGACATGGTTGTTAAGAAAGCTGCACGGGCATAAATGTGAGGATGGTCATAAGTGTGAGGACCAGTCAAAAGTGCGAGGCCCAGTCAGAAATGACTTTTTTCAGCCCTCTGAGTAGTCCCTATGCACATAGCCACGCCCACCTGGTCACATGACAAGCTATCCACGCCCACCCAGTCACATGATTGCCAAGCCACACCCCCAACTAAGCCACGCCCACAGAATCTGTTGTTAAAAAAATTGAATCCCACCACTGGTGAAAGGGCCTCATAAGTGGAATAGCCTAGGGCCTCTTTTCATCTAAATCCGGCCCTGCTGATAGAGTAACTTTGAACCAATTACCAGGAACTGAATTCTAGACCAGCCTTAACCATGAAAGCCAGTGTTGCTTTGAGCCAATCGCCAGGAGATTGTGAGCTCTAGTCCTGCCTTAGACACAAATCCAATAGAATGTCTTGGGATCTTCTCTTTCAGCTGCAGAAAGAAGAAGGCAAGGGAGGAAAAAAAACACCCACTTCTGAATATATTGCTGAGTCAAAACTGAATTTAAAAGACATATTCGAAAATGATTAAAATGGCTGCTTTTATCCTGATCTCCCACCTAGTAAACTCCCTTTGTGAGTTTACTCTTTTGAGTTATTTAATATACAATTGCCATTTTCTGTGAGATCTTTTGTTTGAAGTAAAGAAAGGTGGCACAAGAAGGGAAAATATTAGATATTTAATTCCTGCACTATTCTGTCTCTTATTCATATATATACACACACACACACACACACACACACACACACACACACACACAACACAAAATCATACACAAAATTTATTTCAGAGAACTGTTTGTTCTCTTGCTTTCTTGGTCCTTTCATTTGTTCCTTTGTATGAAAAAAGTACATAGAAGAGTTCATTTCGGACACCCTGCATTATCAGAAATTCCAGTAATCTTTGCGGGAATGACTGTAAATTAATAAAACCGTCCAGCTTTTGTTTCTGAAATATGTCTGGGGCAGTGGTGGGTTGCTCCTGGTTTGTCCTGGTTCGGACAAACCAGTAGTGGCAGTGGTGCCCAGACCAGAGGTGGGTTTCAGCAGATTCTGACCAGCTCTGGAGAACCGGTAGTGGAAATTTTGAGTAGTTCGGAGAACCGGTAGTAAAAATTCTGACTGGCTCCGCCCCCATCTATTCTCTGCTTCCCGAGTCCCAGCTGATCGGGAAGAAATGGGGATTTTGCAGTATCCTTCCCCTGCAGTGGGGTGGGAATGGAGATTTTACAGTATCCTTCCCCTGCCACGCCCACCATGCCATGCCATGCCCACCAAGCCACGCCCACAGAACTGGTAATAAAAAAAATTGAAAGTCACTATTGGCCCAGATGTCATCAAAAATGCTCTGCACATGTTCAGAAACACCGCACATTACTGATAGCAAACCGGTACTGCTGGGATTTGAAACCCACTAATGGTCTGGGGACTGAAAATAGGTAATAAAAAGAAAGCTGTGACATCCCTGAGTTCTTCCTTACCAGCTAAGGGGAACAAAATGGCCGCCCAAACTATACAATCCAAACCCCATCATCATGTTGACTTTTTTGACTTCTTCCCTGCAGACTCCCTTGCTTACTAGTTTTATTACCTTTTACAAATGGGGTTTTTTTTTCCAGATGGGTCTGATGTTAGCAGATATCAAGAGGTGTTGGTTGACTCTGCAGGGAAGCATCGAGTGAATTGTTCAATGCCCCCCGTAGCTGAGGGATGGTTCCATCTTTATGTTGATGGGGAATTCTTTGCTGAAATCAGAGCGTGGCAAAATGGGACAAGCACCAGCTTCGGCCTCACAGAAGATGCCCTCAGCAAACTCAAGGGCAAACTGAGCTGCCAGTTTGGGAGGAACCAACTCAATGACACCATAAGGCAGACACAAGGTGAGCCTAGAGAGAATGAGGGCAGGAGAGACTGAGAGGATGGTGGTGATGATGATGTACTATCATAGTAAATGAGGGTTTGCAAAGCCTTCATCTTGAGGAGCTTACAGTCCAGTGGTGGGTTGCTCCTGGTTCGGTCCGGTTCTATAGAACCAGTAGTAAAACCGGCGGGAGGCTCCGCCCACCCACCACAACATCAGCATGGGTGATCTGCACATGTGTAGAAGCGTGCGCGGGGGAGCAAAACAAGCACGCACACATGGTCCCGTTGCGAACCAGTAGTAAAGGTAAGTAGAACCCACCCCTGTTACAGTCTAACCTTTGAAGAAAATACCATGGTTAAACAGGAAACGTGGAGTCCTTGATGCCTCTCTGAGCTTGGTTGTTTTCTTGCAGACGTTTCATTACCCAACTAGCTAACATCATCACTGCAAATCCCACTCCCTTCTAGCACTGATGATGTTATTTAGTTGGATGATGAAACTTCTGGAAGAAAACAACCAAGCTCAGAGAACACCAAGAGCTCCATAGTTCAACCCAGAGGTACAAATATTCTCTTCTGTCAGTTAAATAGGAAGTACAGTAATCCTCGACTTATGACTACAATTGAGCCCAAAATTTCTGCTGCTAAGGGAAACATTTGTGAAGTGAGTTTGCCCCATTTTACAACCTTTCTTGCCACATTGTTACTTGAATCACTGTAGTTGTTAATTATCAAACTGCTGTTAAGTGAATCTGGCTTCCTCATTAATTTTGCTGATTAGAAGGTCACAAAAGGGGATCATGTGACCCCAGAATATTGCAATCATCATAAATATGGGTTAATTGCCAAGTGTCTGAATTTTGATCTCATGATCATGGGGATGCTTCAATGGTCATAAGTGTGAAAACTGGTCATAAGTCATTGTTTTCACTGCTGTTATAACTTTGAACAGTCCCTAAATGAAGTGTTGTAAGTTGAGGTCTATCTGCATAGCAGATAGCAGTGCCTGTTTGGGGGAAACTGTAATAGGGTCTTTTCCCCATTCCTGGGTTGAGGTGGTACCCAACCACTCTGGAATCAGCAGGAAACTCTATCATCATGGCCTTGGTCCCCACATTGCTGGAGTCTATCCTGCAGTGAGTGATGCTTTCCTAAGTCTGTGGATTGGTTGATTCCTCCAGCTTTGCATCCCAACCTCTCTCTGGATCAGAGGTGGGTTTCAGCAGGTTCTGACCAGTTCTGGAGAACCGGTAGTGGAAATTTTGAGTAGTTTGGAGAACCAGTAGTAAAAATTCTGACTGGCCCCACCCCCATCTATTCTCTGCCTCCCAAATCCCAGATGCTAAAGGAGGAAATGGGGATTTTGCAGTATCCTTCCCCTGCCACCAAACCACACCCACAGAACCGGTAGTAAAAAAATTTGAAACCCACTACTGCTCTGGATGTCATGAACTGGCAGGGTCTAGATTATAAAGAAGATGACTTTGAAAGAAAAGGGGAAGATCTATTACCAAAACCACTAAGAAGGAAAATCCAAAACATGGTGGAGGATTACATAAGTGTTTTAGACACCATCCCTCTAATTCACATGAATATAAAAGTTAGGAGGGGAAGCCTACTCAGACTTACAAGGTTATGTTGCAATCTAAATAAAAGTAGTTTTTAAATGTTCTATATAGTCTTACCGGTACAGTCCTTGTCTTATGATTACAGGAAGTCCTCAACTTATGACCGCAATTGAGCCCAAAATTTATGTTGCTAAGTGAGAAATTTGTTAAGTTTTGCTCCCTTTTGCTAATTTTCTTGCCACATTTGTTAAGTGAATCATTGCAGTTGTTAAATTAGTAACACAGTTGTTAAGTGAATCTGGTTTCCCCATTGACTTTGCTTGTCAGAAGATTGCAAACATGACCTCTGGACATTGGAACCATCATATATGTGAGTCAGCTGTCAAGCATCCGAATGTAAATCAGATGACCATGGGGATGCTGCAATGGTCATAAGTGTGAAAAATTGTCATAAGTCACTCTTTTCAGTACTGTTTTAACTTCAAACGGTCACTAAATGAACTGTTGTAAGTTGAGGACTACCTGTAGTCTCTTAGCAAGCATTCGATATTATAATCGGAGCCCCAAAAAGCTATTGACAACCTGGATTCAGAGTTCCAATGTTTGAGTCCCCACTGCAATTACATGCCTGCATTTTGGGTGCTTGGCAATTGACCCACATTTACAGCTGTTTGCAGCACATGACCATGATTTATATATTTTCGCTGAAACTGGCCTTTATTTCCGATTTCTGGTAAAAAATATCCCCTAGTGAACAATGCATTTGCTTAACTACCTCATCATTCACTTAACAACCACCATATTCAATTTATGGGTACCATGATTCCTGAAAAACTACCACAAAAAAAGTTGTAAAATTGGCCATGTTCACTTGCTTTAGTGACCAGCTTTAAAATTATCACGACTTAGGAACAAAATTGTGACCTAATTACAGTCGCAACTTGAGAACTATCTGTATTTCTTGATCTGGTCTGTTCACACAAAAAGATATTTGCCAAGACATTCTCCTCTCTAGGGATCTCACTGGGTGGTGGTGGTGGGGAGAAAATGGGAAATAGGGGGATGGAACCTGTGGGACAGCCAAGGGTCCACTTATATTAAATTTCACTATGGTACAATTTCAGCTTTAGACAAAGCAGTACTGACAGGACAAGCCACTAGCAATATAGCAATAGCCCTTAGACTTATCTCTTCTGAGTGTTTTACAGCCCTCTCTAGGCAGTTTACAGAGTCAGCCTATTGTCCTCAACAGTCTGGTTCCTCATTTTACCTACCTCAGAAGGATGGAAAGCTGAATCAATCTTGAGTCTGGTGAGATTTGAACGGCCAAATTGCAAGCAGCTGGCAGTCAGCAGAAGTAAAGTACTACACTTTAACCACTGCGCCACCGCAGCTCTGGAATATAAACAGAACAAACCCATTTCTTACTAGCACTGATGATATTACCTAGTTTGGGTAATGAAATGTTTGCAAGAAAACAACCCAGCTCAGAGATCACCAAGGACCTCGCATGAGCCAACTCAGCCAGCTGTTTATTCAACAGTTATGGTTAAACACATTGTGGCAATGATATAATTCCGGTTATGACTAGATTACAAAAGTTTGAAGGATCAGTTGCAATTCTACTGTTCCTTCCAGGGAAGATTTAATCAATTGTGCTCAAGCCAGCCAGAACGAAATTTAAATAACAGTCTTATAATTAAACTATTAAAGCTCAACCATTAAAAATTCATCAAATGCAAACATGTTGTTAAGAAAGTCAGAATGCATAATAAAGATTTATTGTGGAAATGCTTTCCTTTTTTTAACAGTATATATATATATGTGTGTGTTTTTTTTTCTTTAAAGAGTCAATTCTGCTGAGCACTGATTTCACTGCAGCCAATTCCATACGGCTTGGCCTCGGGTTCACAATCCTTGTTGCAGCTGTGATTTTTGTGGCTGATGCGTTTTGGACTGAGAGGCATCAGGAGAACTGAGCCAGACAATAGCTTCTGAATCAGCGAGATATGTGGAGTCACGCAAAAACATGGCTTGAAACAGTCTTTTCTGGTGGCTGAATCCAATGAGAAGAGGGGTAACAGCAGGGATGAAATCCAAAATTTTTCCCTATTGATTCTATGAGCATGACTTGGTAGGCATGGCAGGGGAAGGATATTGCAAAATCTCCATTCTCTCCCCACTCTGGGGCCAGCCAGAAGTGGTATTTGCCAGTTCTCCGAACTACTAAAAGTTTCCGCTACCAGTTCTCCAGAACCTGTTAGAACCTGCTGGATTTCACCCCTGGGTAACAGTCAAGTCAACTGAAATCAGATTGAAGCTTTCATTACCCAAAACTGTTTATCGAAAAACCTTATCGAACTTTGAGAAGTGGTTGCAAGTCCTTCCTTTAACACCATTGTAACTTGGAACAGCCCCTGAATGAATGGTCTTAACTGTATCTGTATCATAAAGACAATATCACCAAATGATCTTTATGTCATTTCAACAAATTACCCTTAGTAATTTCATCCATTTTCATCTTAAAAGGAATACTTCGGGAGATTTTCAAATGTATTTTAGAACACGTGGCAACCTTTAAGTCAATTTAAATTTAACTTGTCCTGCTGTGATGGGTAATGGATTCATGCGTCATTACCCAAAGAAAAACTGCTTTTATCCAATTTGAGATAATTTGCCCAGATTTAGGCAGCTTTCTGCTTCTGTAGAAGCTGGTCTTCATATCTGCAATAAAAGATACTTTTATTTTATTTATGTATTTGTCTTGTCTATGGAAGATTGGAGGTAGATTGGACTAGCTGATTATCCGGTGTTGCCCAGGTATTTATTTATCCCAATCTTGTATTAGAATTATATCTTTAGTGTCAAATCAAAGCAATTTTATTCACAAGGTTTTAAAACTATAAGCACAGTATACAAATTATAAAGTAAAGTATTATTCAAATTAAGAATAATATTAATTTAAGACAAAACTTGATTATAAAGAACATTTTTAGTTTCACCTCCAGGAGCAGGAATAAATAAATTCTGTGGTGAACCCACCCTTAAGCAAACAAAATAAAGTTATCCGTGGGAGAAACATGGTGTTCTGAAATCCACTCCACAGTATTTAATAGACTGACCCTGTGACTTATTGATCATGATTGAGAATGCAAGTCTCAATTTTTTTTCCAGAGAGTAAGTCATCTGTGTACCAAGTTTGGTTGAAATTGCTCAAGGTGTTCCAGAGTTATGGTGGAACACAGAGACACACATAGAGAGAGGAGTGTTAGGGGCGTGTTACCCCTACAGAATTTGTTTTCAGAGAGTAAGTCATCTGTGTACCAAGTTTAGTTGAAAGTGGTCGAGCCACTCCAGAAACCCACACACACAAACACACACCAGGGGTGTCTTACCCCCACAGTATTTGTTTCCAGAGAGTAAGTCATCTGTGTACCAAGTTTGCTTGAGCTGTTCTAGAGTTATTCTGGAACACACACACACACACACACACACACACACACACACACACACCCGATGAGCATTACCCCCACAGAATTTTTTTGCAGAGAGGAAGTCATCTGTGTAGCAAATTTGATTAAAATTGCTTGAGGCGTTCCAGAGTTATGGTGGAACACACACAGACACACACACATAGACACACACATACACATACCAGGGGTGTCTTACTCCTATAGTATTAGTTTCCAGAGTGTAAGTCATCTTTAAGTAAGTACCAAGTTTAGTCGAAATTGGTTGAGCCATTCCAGCGTTATGCTGGAACACTCACACTCACACTCACACACACACACAAACACACACATCAGGGGTGTCTTACCCCCACAGTATTTGTTTCCAGAGAGTGAGTCATCTGTGTACCAAGTTTGGTTGAAATTGCTTGAGCCATTTCAGAGTTATGCTGGATCGTATATACATACATAGGTCCTTTTTTATATACACTGCTCAAAAAAATAAAGGGAACACAAGCAGAAGACATCTGAGATCTGAATGAATGAAATAGCCATATTAAATATTTTGTTTGTTACATACAGTAGTTTTGTGTTCCCTTTAGTTCTTTGAGCAGTATATAAACTACTGTATGTAAGGAACACAGTATTTAATAAGGCTATTTCATTCATTCAGATCTTTGATGTCTTCTGCTTGTGTTCCCTTTATTTTTTTGAACAGTATATATAGAAGAAGAAGAAGATTATTGCAGTAACCAGAATATTGTCAGAGCAGTCCTCAACTTACTCTCTTACTTCTGGGTAACTGTACTGAGGTGAACAAAATTCCTTGAGACAGGAATTTTGTTCAACTTTGTGCTGTGGGCGCTTGTTAAAAAATATGGGAGGTAGACTCAAAATACGGTATTTTTCGGAGTATGAGACCCATCTTTTTACCCTCCAAAAGGGGGTGAAAATTTAGGTGTGTCTTATACACCGAATGTAGCCCTGTCCACCCACTGGCCCCTACCCTTTGGTCTCTGCCTCCCAGCAGTTACCTTCTTGCAAGCAAACAGCAAGAAAAAACAGCCCCTTTCAGCTTCAGCATAGGCTAATTAGCACAAGTTGATTAGATCAGCCTCCCCATTCTCAGCTGATTTGCTCCCAGCTGTTTTGCACAGGCTCTTTTGCAAGTTCTTCTTTTGCAAGCTCTTTGCTTGGTGCAAAGAGTGCTGGAGCAGATTTTTCTTTTTCCCCTAGCTAAAACGAAACTGAAAGTAAAGCAGGCTCTGCTGCAATGTGACAAAATGAGGCAGGGAGAGAGATTTCTTTTTCTTTTTGCTCACCAAAAAAGGTAGGTGCAAACAATGGGAAATTTAGGGCAAAAGAGGAGAGTTCAAGATTTTAAAACACAAAAGAAAAAAAGGTCTATTTAACTAGGGAATTGTAATAATTGAGATGCTATTAATTGTATATTGTGTTGAAAGTAGAAATGGTTAAGTTATGGTTTGGAGGAATATAGGGAAATTATTTGGTTTATTATTATTGGTAAATATAATTAATTGATTTGTAAGAAATTGGATTGCATGGAAATAATTGGAATATTCATGTTCATATTGATTAATATACAAAAAAGATAGTTATAACTAATTGATTTATATAAAAATGTTGAATTTGTATTAAACAATTGTAATATTAAATAATTAACCAATGTGAGGATGGATATAAAAATAGATGACAATGGGAAGGGGTATAATATAAAATAGAAGGGGAAAATTGAATTTGATTAAGATTAGAGATGAGAATGAAGGGTAATATTGGTTTTTATTTATTTATTTATTTATTTATTCGAATTTCTATACCGCCCTTCTCCTTTCGGACTCAGGGCGGTGAACAGCCAGATAAAAAACATCTATACAAACATCACGGTTAAAAATAAAGTTAAAATAATTTATAAATTTGGCCCATAATTTAAAACTTATCAATTTAAAATAAATATTAAAATTTTAAAACTAATCCTAAAATCAGGACAGACCGGCTAACTGAAAAAATAAGTTTTTAGGGCCCGACGAAAAAAAAATAGATGAGGAATAAATATGGCAAAAAGGAAATATAGAAATTGTAAATTTAATTGAAATGACTAAACACTGTTTAAATTTCTGAACCAGCCAAACACTCTGTTCAAAGAAAATACATTGTATGTTTGTATGTGTGCTTGTCTAAAAAATAAAAAAAAACCTTTAAAAAAAAACAACCGAAAAAGATAGGTGCGTCTTATACTCTGGTGTGTCTTATATTCCGAAAAATACAGTATACTGTAGGTAGTTGTGTTATCTGTGGAAGAAAATTACAGTATCACTGATTTTTCTCCCAGTGTAGTCAGTTCAGCCAATCAGAGCATAGAATCTCACTGATTGGCTGAACTGATTGGAAGTAGAAGAGGGGTCTCAAACCTTAGAAACAAGTAGCATCTCCATTTGGCCCTTCCAGCTTAGAATTCTGGGATTTGCAGTCCAATCCTCTATAGGTTTAGGTTTAGGTTTATTTGATTTGTATACCGCCCTACTCCCGAAGGACTCAGGGCGGTGAACAGCCAACAATAAAATACATAAATACAAAAAATTTAAAAACCAGATAAAATCAAATTAAATCATTTTGGCCCAGACAGATTAAAACACCCCAATAATTTAAAAACAGATTAAAATTTACATATTTAAAAAGGGAAGAAATTAGGCCAAGCCCGCCTGATGGAATAAAAAGGTCTTCACAGCACGGTGGAAGGAGCGCAGATCCGGGATCCTCCGGAGCTCATTCCAGATGGTAGGTGCCCCCACAGAGAAGGCTCTCCCCCTAGGGGCCGCCAGTCGACACTGTTTGGCTGACGGCACCCGGAGGAGTCCCTCTCTATGAGAGCGTACTGGCCGGTGGGAGGCTATTGGTGGTAGTAGGCGGTCCCTATAAAGATTCCCATTTCTTAAGGCGCTGCCACAGAGAGGAGGCAACCTATTTTCCAATACAATTGAAGGCCAGACAAGGGATAATGGATAGAAACTGATCAAGGAGAGATTCAACCCAGAAATAAGGAGAAATTGTCTGACAGTGAGACTAATCAACCAATGGAACAGAAGTTGCGTTCAGAAGTTGTGGGTGCTTCATCACTGGAAGCTTTCAAGAAGAAACTGGACTGCCATCTATTGGAAATGGTGGAGGGTAGAGGTGTCAAACTCGTGTTGTCACAGTGGCATCACGTGATATATCGGGACTTTCCCCCCCTTCGCTAAACTGGGCATGAGCTTGACCAGTGTGTGACCCTGGTGTAGGGTCTCCTGCTTGAGCAGGGGGTTAGACTAGATGACCTACAAGGTCCCTTCCAACTCTGTTATTCTGTTATTCTATTACTATTCCTGCCGCCTATACCTGGTGATATAAACTAAAAATGGCCCCTCATAGGGAAAGGTTTAGAGTTAAAAATCTGGGAAGACAAAATGGGGGATCTTACAAATCCACAAATCCCATGTCCCATTTCTTTTTCTCTACTGTTAGACACATCCGAACTGGTTTCACTGGTTTAATAAGTAATTCAGTAAGTAATAGAACCCATCAGAGGCTTCTATTACCAAGTCCTGACTTGGTGCTGATTAGTATTTCCAGACCTAAACAGCTATTCCTGTGGCTGTTGGAAGAAATCGAATTCTTGGAAAGAGACTTCTCAAACTGAAAATGATGAGCATGCGGATGTCCACAGGATGTGTGCGTTTGTGAAGAAGATGATTGCAATGTGCAATCAAGCCTTGCCATGTTTTTCTATA